AGCCGTGTCACCCGACTGCATATACTGCCCAGGCATTCTCGATGACGTGGAACATACATTTTTCCACTGCCAGCGCTGGGAAAGGCCCCGCCTGGAGGCTCAACAGTTAATAGGACTGCTGTTGGTGGACACGGTCATACCGATTATGACGGAGGGTGAGGACAATTGGAACTGTGTGTCACATTATATCCAGGGTATTCTCCGCGCCAAGAAGATCGACCTTGACCGGGATGCGGTGTAGGTCATTAAGAATCTAAATGCCAGAAACGGTGCGAGCCCTGAGGGCTTAGGTCAAATGTTGGCCTGACTTGAAGTAATGTGGCAAACAATTCCAGGTCTGTGTCCAACAGAGTAGAGGGGGTTTTTTAGTGAGTGGTCTGATAATTTTCAGGAGTCTCACACTACAGGCTGGCTACCTGTGTGCGTAAAAGCATTTTCCTCCTCTCCCTAAAAAAAATAAAATAATAAGGAGGGATACCAGGGCACTCAAGCTCATCTCTAATTGAATAATTGTACCGATGTCATCAGTGATGTCAGTTGAGGTAGGTCAGATAACATTATGATTATCTGACCTTATGATATAACCTTATGATTCTAGTGAGAGCAACCAAGAATATTTACCTAAACATTTCAAAATAGACCTATGGTAGGCAAATTAGGATGGACTTTCACTCTACCGCTTTGGTTAGAGATCGTTTTGATGTTTCCAGTCGTGCTACAACTGCAGTAGCCTCTAGTGTTTCGCACGAAATTGGCATGGTAATTTTTTTTACAGTTTTAAATTAAGATATTTGTTAAATAAGGAGTCGTAATGGGTAATTAAGGGGTTTAGGACGCCCAACATTTTGGGGACTCATCGGATCTTTATTTTATCATAATCATATTATTAGTATTTCACAGGTGAAACTTTATGAATGTAAACATTTTGTTGCTTATAAACCTTATTTTACCTATAAACACATTAGTAACATATTTAAATGCTAAGCTAGGAACTACAATCAAGGCGGGAAGCCTACTGGCTTTCGCAATGCCACTGGAAAAATGTGATTTAATTTAAGGAATATGGTCAGCTTCTACGCATGCTCAAGTTTTGGTAACGACAACGGAGTGACCCGTGAAGAGAACGTTGAGCTTTGAAAAGATAAGCTGAAAAACAACTGGCGAATGTCAGGCTCGTGCGTCACACCATGAAGCCTGTGGCGCTTGGGTCACATAGCCTAAATTAAAGTATAAAAAGTATTTAGCTAATAGTCCAGCATCTAGAGGGGGTTGAGTATGCACTGAAAGTGTAACTCTTTTTGACTTTTGATTGTTGTTGGGGGCATCTTGGAGATGACAAAAACCGATGTTGTCGCCCTCCCAGCAGGTGCACAACTTTGGGGGGAGGGGGGGAAGGTGCTCTGAGACGCGTTCTAGAAAATCGCGTATGTCTCGTGAACTAGACACGATAGAACCAAGCTCTAAACGGCATTGTATTACCAACCTTATCTGCTTTAAAAAAGTATGCAGGAAAAGTCCCGTATCTATGATATTAGTTGAGTTATTTAACAATTTATTTAAAAATTTGAATAAAAACCCCTAAATAAAGTTAAACTATTCATTAAAACCCCTTTAAAACAACAAACAGTAAAGTTTTTCATCATGCATAATATGTTTAACACGCTAAAGTGACTTTATATGGTGATTATATCGAAATATTACAAGGTTATGCGAGGTTTCCGATAAAGCGGCACGTTGACGCGGGTGACGCCGCTGCGCGCCAGAAATCAACCTGTTGTACAGACTTGTAAAAATTGGGTATGTACCGAAGGTGTAACAAATTTTGACTTTTGATTGTTGTTGGGGGAATCTTGCAGATTACAAAAACCGATGTTGTCGCCATTCCAGCAGGTGCACAACTTGGTGGGGGGGTAGTAGCGCTGAGGTGCGTTCTAGAACATCGCTCATATCTCGTGAACTAGACACGATAGAAACATGTTTTAAACGGCATTGTATTACAAACCGCATCTGCTTTAAATATTTTACAACGAAAAATCCCATATCAATGATAATAATTTAGTTATTTTACATTTTATTAGAAATTACAAATTTAAAGTCAAAATACCGTTTATCTACGTATATAACTCTCATAAAACAATGAATAGTACTGTGTTTGGAGTGCATTCTATGTTCAACACACGAATTACAAAAAATTAAGTGTACTGTACTTTCCTTAAAATAATATGTACGGATTTTTTAGAGTTAGCGAGAAAATAATTATAAGCTGTTTTTAACACTAGGCTATTTAAATATAAAGTTTAAACAAAAATCTAGGTACAACTACCAAAGAAAATGCTTCGGTTTGCAATGTATACGGTTTTTTAAAGAATATTAAAATAGACTTAGAAATGCTGTACTTCATTTTAAAACTTAACTACCATATAAACTACACATAAAAAAACAATATATACTATTTCGGTCATCTTGTTTGAAACGGTCTTAAAGATGAGGATTTCTACATTTTTTTTAAACATTTGCAGTAGGAGCAGCAGGATGACTTGTTTGAAAAGCAGCTACAAGTTGATCTAGAACAAGTCATGCATTTACATGGCTTTAGCAAATTTGTAGGAGGCAGGGTCAAAAGAAGGGGGCGCAATTTTACTGAGCTGTCTTTGGAAAATCCGTACTGGAATAGATCTAAAGGCTCTATTACTGCCGCCAAGGACTTTTCCCAAAAATATAGTTGGGCACTACACCGTAACAGGTGTAATTTGAAGCTGTCCGGTGTGTAAGGAATTTTACTAATGTCCTTGACGGCAGATGGATTAGTTGTGATTTCTATATAGCGGCTGTCATTGCACGTGCTTCCTTTTCTTCTTAATCCTGCTGCTCCTACTGCAAATGTTTAAAAAAATTGTAGAAATCCTTATCATTAAGACAGTTTCAAACAAGATGGCCGAAATAGTATCCATTGTTTTCTTATGTGTAGCTTATATGGTAGTTAAGTTTTAAAATGAAGTACAACATTTACAAGTATAGACTTGGGAATGCTTTACTTCATTTTAAAACTTAACTTAATAATATTCTTTTAATAAAAAACCGTATACATTTCATACTGAAGCATTTTCTTTGGTAATTGTACCTAGATTTTTGTTTAAATTTTATATTTAAAATAGCCTAGAGTTAAAAACAGCTTATAATTATTTTCTCGCTAACTCGAGAACTCCGTACATATTATTTTAAGGAAAGTACAGTACACTTAATTTTAGCGAATTTCCCATATAGGGAATAAGCCATTGCCGTAGTACTCATGGTAACACCTGGACTCGGGACAGATTTTTTTTTCGTTTTGAGGTCCCTAAAAACACCATCCGTTCAAATTCATATATATATTTATGTGTCCGTTAGCACGATAACTCGAGCAAAAATGATCCGATTCTGATGAAATTTGGTATAAACGTGTAAACCTACATTTATTCGAACGAGTTCGCGAACCAGCATGATCGGACTATGGGAACGGGGGTTTACAGAGGGGTTTTATGGGGTAAAAATATGTTTTTCCCATTTTTACCATAACATTTTGCAATTTCTCTCCAAACCATTTTGTAGAGCTTAAAAAAACAAATAATTTAGTATATTGAACCGTTATTATGCGCCTAATGGTTACGGAGATAATAAAAACAAAATTAAATTTAAAATTGTCCTGTTATCCTTATGAAGAACAAGTAAACTGTTGTAGTTTGCTTGTTTATGAACATATTTTGATCAAATGTGGAAAATGTTTTTATTTGTTACTAAAAACTATTAATATAAAAAAAAAACAGTTTTACCCTCCCTGATGCAGCAAACCTAAGTACTTGAACTAATTCTACTTAAATAGGAAATAAATGTTATATTTTTTAGTAGACATTTTAGTGTAAATCCAATCAGGCAAATGGATATTCGCTTAGTCTGCAGGTTTGCTGCGGCGGGAGTATTTTGTAATTCGTGTGTTGAACATAGAATGCACTCCAAACACAGTACTATTCATTGCTTTATGAGAGTTATATAGGTAGATAAACGGTATTTTGACTTTAAATATGTAATTTCTAATAAAATGTCAAATGACTCAATTATTATCATTGATATGGGATTTTTTGTTGTAAAATAATTAAAGCAGATGCGGTTTGTAATACAATGCCGTTTAAAACATGTTTCTATCGTGTCTAGTTCACGAGATATGAGTGATGTTCTAGAACGCGCCACAGCGCTACTTCCCCCCCCCCCTCCCACCACGTTGTGTACCTGCTGGAATGGCGACAACATCGGTTTTTGTAATCTCCAAGATTCCCCCAACAACAATCAAAAGTCAAAATTTGTTACACCTTCGGTACATACCCAATTTTTACAAGTCTGTACAACAGGTTGATTTCTGGCGCGCAGCGGCGTCACCCGCGTCAACGTGCCGCTTCATCGGAAACCTCGCATAACCTTGTAATATTTCGATATACTTACCATATAAAGTCACTTTAGCGTGTTAAACATATTATGCACGATGAAAAACTTTACTGGTTGTTGTTTAAAGGGGTTTTAATGGATAGTTTAACGTTATTTAGGGGTTTTTATTCAAATTTTTAAATAAATTGTTAAATAACTCAACTAATATCATAGATACGGGACTTTTCTTGGATACTTTGATAAAGCAGATGAAGTTGGTAATACAATGCCGTTTAAAGCTGGTTTCTATCGTGTCTAGTTCACGAGATATACGCGATTTTTTAGAACGCGTCTCAGAGCACCTTCCCCCCCTCCCCCCCAAGTTGTGCACCTGCTGGGAGGGCGACAACATCGGTTTTTGTCATCTCCAAGATGCCCCCAACAACAATCAAAAGTCAAAAAGAGTTACACGTTTAGTGCATACTCAACCCCCTATAGATGCTGGACTATAAGGACTTGTGTCCTAGGATGTCAAGGAGGAACAAAAAACGAACCATTTTACTATTACTCCACCCACCAGACATCTACGTCTTATATCAGCTTACCTGAGCCTCGTAGGGGTAAGAAGACTCATATTCGATTCCCATCGCTGACTTAATGTACTCGAATGTGCCATTAATAACCCCTCCATCACAGCCTTCGGAAAAGATTGAGCAGTCAACAAGTTGCTGCTCACTCAAAGACACCAGCTTTTCGGTCTTTATGTAGTTCTGCCCTTCCAAACTGCCAGTCTGGAACAGGTAGAATGTATTACGCCAGAATTTCTAAAAGTAAGAAATTTAGTTAAAAGGTAGGCCCTTATATTTTTAATTGTGGAGGATGGACTTAAAATGTTATATTATTTGGAAGGTTATTGTCACGATTTCTATCACGATAAATACGTAACTTCTTGCTCTTGTTTCTTACTTAAACGATGTACAATAAAGTTGTCTGCTTGCAATATTGAGTGGAGATAGCATATTTACCCAATAATTTTCCAACGTCAATGCTACATCTGTTTCTTGAAAATGAGATACATACTTGCAGTATCCAATGGCAATGGTATGTTTGGTTCACGTAAATGTAATGTCTATTTGCAGTATCCAAAGTCATTTATAAGTCTGGTTCACGTAAATGAATTGTGTTCTTGCAGAAACCAAAGTCAATGTTTCATCTCCTTTTCATGAATTAAATGACTACTTGCAGTACTCAATGTCAAAGATTTGGTTCGCATAAATATAATGCATATTTGCAGTATACAAAGTCAATGGTAACCCTGCTTCACATAAATAAGAAATCTACTTGCAGTTTCAAAAATCAATGGCCACTTGTCCATTTGGTAAATAAATAAGATGCCTGCTTGCAGTATGTCAAAGTCAATGGTACGTCGGGGTCATGTAAACCAATTTTTTACTTGCAGTATCCAAACTTAATGTCACATAGGGTTATCGTAAATGAATTATTTACTTGCAGTATAATAAGTCGATGATTCATATAAATGAAGTTTGCCATTTACACTATCAAAAGTCAATCGTCCGTCTGGTTCACATCAGTGAAATGTAAACTTGCAGTATCCAAACTCAATGGTATTTTTAGTTTATATTAATGTCATTCCTATTCGTAGTGCCTGATCAAAGTCTGCATTAATTTAATGGTACGTCTAACTCACATAAATGGAAACGCTACTTGCATTATCCAAACTCAATGGCAGGCCTATATTTTGTTCACATAAAATGAATGGCTATCCGGAAAATCCAATTGTTCTTTCCTTTTTTCTCTAAGGTTATTTGTAATGTGCTATTTTAGATTATTTTTTAACTAACATACGTTGCAATACTGGACAAGAACTTGCATCAATTTACAAAATGAGGACAATCGGTGTTTCAAATATGCTGTTTCAGCAAATTTGTCGAAGATAAGCATTCCTTTAGACCAAGCCGTTATTATAGTGAAGTGACTCTTAAATATAATCTCTCAGGTTCGTATAACCCAGTGTCTTTAAAAGATATAGAACAATTTGAAAAACAAAAACTGAATTCGTCTGGCTTGGATGAATCTAATAATGTGTTTCCCACCCAGATTACATCTCATGAGCGTTAATCCCATACATATAAACTACTTCTCACAAACATACATTTCACTTCATGTTTACATAAGAAACTTCAATGCACTCTTATCAAGACAGCGAAGATGATTCTCACTATTTGCAAACCGTGTTTTTAGTACGCTGTAAAAGCATTTCGGATGGGGGTAAGGAATGGGTACTTAACCACCAATGTTTCTGTAATAGTAAGGATGAAGTAAGAGTTAAATTACCTCCACCTAGTTATAATTTTAGAAATATATTTACCTGTAGATGTGCAGAATCCCTTTTAAAAATAAAAAAGGCTGAAAATAAGCACAAATAAACGATATCAGCATTCTGACACATACTTTCTCCCATAAGTTTGTTGTTCCTTGTAAGGTTGTCCACCTTTATCATATTATGCGGTGAGAGTAAATATACGGAAATGGGATTTGTCAAATTTTGTTCAGAATTTAAAGGACTATAACATACTAAATTTTTATCAAAATCGTTCGGGCCATTTCTTAGAATATCCCTTCTTTTCCATTATTTTATGGGGTTTTATGAGAAAAACCCCAAAAATTAAAAAAAAAGAAAAAAACTTTCAAAGTTGTAAGGACTATAACATACTATGTTAAATCAAATCCGGATTTTTTTTCTTAAATCCTATTTTTGAATATTTTATGGGGTTTTATGGGAAAATAACATAATTTACAATACCTTTTGAACCGTAATTTTTACAGAAATGGGATTTTTACTATTTTGCTCAGAATATAAAGGACTATAACATAGGCTACTAAGTTTTTATCATAATCGTTTGGGCCATTTTTAAGAAAATCAGATTTTTCCGTTATTTTATGGGGTTTAATGGGAAAATCCCCATTAAAAAATCATGATTTCTAAAAAATAAAAAATAAACTATCAAAATTGTAAGTGCCATAACATACTATGTTAAATCAAAACAGTATTTTTTTCTAAAATCCAATTTTTTGTTATTTTATGGGGTTTTATGGAAAAATAGCATAATTTACAATAACCTTTGAACCGTATTTTTTACAGAAATGGGATTTGTACCATTTTGCTCAGAATATAAAGGACTATAACATAATAAGTTTTTATCATAATCGTTTGGGCCATTTTTAAGAAAATCCGATTTTTCCGTTTTTTATGTGTTTTATGGTAAAATCCCCATTAAAAATCAAAATTTCGAAAAAGTAAAAAAAATGACTGGAGATAAAATGGATTAGAACCTACATACCAAATTGCATCGAAATCGGACTACAGGTGTAGTCCCTAGCTCTGTACACATCCAGAGTGTATTATTAACTAAAATTATTAGTTAATAATACTTAAATGTTCAATTTACCATAAAAGGTTTTATTAATATTTTCATTTATTGGTTCAAAGCCTCGTATGATTATTTCCTTCTTTTCCTTCACATCAATGTTGTCAGATAAAAGATATAATACATCTAAATTAATAGATAATATGCGCGTTTTCTCTAATCCTCCGCGGTGCGAGCGTTCAGTGGTGTAGCGTAGCAGTAGCCATCCAGCCTTTCCATGCGGGGTTGCCACTTCGGACGCCGCGGTCTTAGTTAAAGGCAGCCGTGCCACAGGTCAAGACTGACCAGGCACAAACGATATCTAGATCCAAATTTATATGATATTGGAGGATTTTATAAAATCATTAAAGTATCTGGACCAAGAATAATTATTCATTTCGTCACATATGACACAAGGTTTAGATTAGGCTACTCAATAACATGATTAGGGTTTAGGCCGTTCCCTTTTGACATAAGTATACCTATTCCACAGTCCTATTTTCATACACCTACCCTTCCCAACTGTAGTTCCCTTTTTTGTGACAGACTGTACACAAAAGTTTCATTTTATCTGTAAGTTATAAACTTAAAACACTACACCCAAGGCTGGGCCACTTACCGCACTGAAGGCATAGCTAGATCCACACTTTCCTTGGTCCTTGACGGGGGTTACGGCTCCCTTCTTCCTCCAGTCAACAGTCTTGGGAACTTCGAGGTTCTCGTCGATCTCAAACTCCTCAGTAGCTCTTCTTCTCGGGTAGTAAATATTGGGCGGTCTAAATCCGCCCAACTTATGGATCTCATCACTGGTCTAAAACCAATTTAGTCAATTATACAACCATTGACTTTTAAATAGTGAAGAAGACACTATTCGATATGGTCCAAATGAAGTAAATTGATTGGCATGCAAAATCTTTGAATGAGAACCTTGCAGAGCTTTTAAAGGCAAAATTAAATGTTCCCCTTTTCATTATCCATCTCCGTACATAGTGGAGGAAGTATTGTACTATGGAAAAAGTATTGTTTTCTTGAAAATTTTGAGTTTGAGCTTGGTCTGTAATATCTGTTTTGGGTCCCTTAGAAATCGTCGAAAGTGATTTTCGAAGTGTTTTCTGTGTTCAGTTCAATCAGTTCAAAAATCTTTGTTCAAATATTGCATGGTAAAATTTTACATTTAGCCATAATATTCAATCTAAAATATATTATTGACATATTTGATCCTGTTTATATTTCAATGTTTCGAAAAAGTACATGAAGTGCCTTATGTTTTTTATTTAATTTATAAGCTATTACCGTAGTATGCCCGGTAAGACCTGGGCCCGGGACTGATATACTTTTTAAGTTTGAGGTCCCTAGAGGCCAAAAACACCATCAGTTCAAAATCATATATATATATATAAACAATTTAAAACATTACAAAAACATTAGTACCCTTTTACCTCATTTTAATTATTTTACCCTTTTAACTTATTTTAATTAATTAAAAAGGTACTAATGTTTTATAATGTTTTCAATTTGTTTATCAGGGTGGTAAAAAAGTCCCTGGACAGTTTAATATTTTAAAAGATAATGTAGATAGAGCTACAATACTTGGTACAAAGTTACAGGGCATAAAACTCTATTTTAACACATATTCAGTGATCCAATAACTCTTCAGGGGGACGGCCCACAAGGAGTCGGCAGAAAATCTTAAACAGAAGCATAGGTCAATATGCACATCAAATTAAAGGTCCTTTTTAGTAGAATACAATGCCGCAAACCGCACTTCAAAAGGTTGATCCTGCACAAAATGACAGTTGTTCAAAGATTTCTTGAATCCGTCATTTTGAATCTTTGAATCTTTATGCCCTGTAACTTTGTACCAAGTATTGTAGCTCTATCTGCATTATTTTTTAAAATATTTAACTGTCCAGGGACTTTTTTACCACCCTGTATAGTAGTAGCCGTAATAACAATCAAACCTATTATAAAGGGTAAGTAAAACGTCTGGAGACCCCCTGTTAATTTTTAACGGCCCATACTAGAAAAACTAAACTCGGCAGACCTTTATGGCATGTTATGAAGTACTTTTTGGGCATAACCGCCACTTGCACATCCCTAAAATGGGGGATTTTGGGGGAATCTCAAAAATTGTTAATGGTAAGACCCATCGAGTGACCCCTCATTTTTAAGGTCCTGGTAAAAGAAAATCTACGTGATCTGTACTGTTTAGCCTATTACTATGATATCATACAGCCCGCATAGGTACATTATAGCAATCCATACCCATACGGTCACACCATAGTCATAATATAATAAATATGGTATCAATATACCTTTGTTACTAAGTTCTTTTAAAATATAGATATTTTTCATCTCACCCAGTCAGCGAACTGGTTGACTCCTACGGTAAAGGTAACTTCTCCTTGCTCGAACTTCTTGTTGTGACAACGGATGAAGTTGAGGTTGTTCATGAAGATTTCCTTTCTAGTTTTATCCTCCTTATCTCCATACTCTCTTGCATATCCAATCTGAAATTGAACATTATTAATTTCACAATATTTTCAATATACGAACATTGATTTATTGAATGGTAAAAGTTGTAGTAAAATTTCATAGAAAGATTACGTTTAAGTTATAACAACTTGACTGGATAAATCCATTTGGCATTACTTAGGGCCGCTTCATTTAGTATCCAAAGTAGTATGATTGGATTAACTTTAATTTATATTTCATCAACAACTCCGCTGAACATTTCTTACATACCAATTATTGTCTCTGAATTAACACAAACAACACAAAAAAACATAATTTTAGGTTGAAATAACTGATGTAAGATTTTTAATTTTAAAGACATGTGAAAAAACTTTATAAAATATATTATTTGCACTTTTGTTTTAGAGGCCGTAACAACTTTCTTTAGTCAGAAAATATGAATATGCATTACCTTGAAGAGTTCCCACTGGACCTCGTCCTCATCGGAGTAACCGATGTGGCTGGAGTAACCCAAAGCAACGAGGGTAAACAACAATAACAGCTTCATCTTGAATACAAAGCAACATTGAAATAATCAACAATAATATCACACATACAGTTGTAGCCAGTTTTTAAATAAAAGTAAACGTAGTTGAAGTTAGCCACTGACGGATTGCATTAACGTAAATTACACATTTTTGCATAGTATGTAAATTGTTTAACCAACTCAAGCTGATAGGACGACTTACTGTGGGCTATAGCACCTTTTAAGTCATGTGGCCGGTTATGTAAAATTCCGCCCGAGTTTCATTTCGCCCGTAGCCTAATTAGTCTCAGTTCGTCCACGGTTCTAGATTAACCCTTACAATCCTCAGCTCTACCTGCGTCAGGAGTCTCATTCCATCCACGGAGGCGAAGCCCCATCTCCTAGGTACGCACCCTCCCCCAACTATGACCCCCATCACCTTCCACCTCCGACTACACGGTTATTGAAACTTAAAATATTTGTTTGACAAACCAGACAAACCAAAAGAATTTCCTTTATAGTATTAATTTAAAGTTGGAACACAAAGATCTCAGCATTAAAATATAAAGTTGCATGTGTCCTTATTGATTGGTTAAGTTAAGCTGAAATAAACAAAAACTGAATACAGTAACACCTTTTTGTCCATGGTAATGATGTAGGCCGGGTAAATACCCAGTGGGTGGGTATATATAAATTGGATATTTATAATTTTTATTAAAGCCAGAGAAGATTGAGATGTTTTTTGCAATTATTACTCTGTAAGGATAGTAAAAACAATTATTACTCTGTAAGGATAGTAAAATGATGATAAAATGCGTTAAATAAAATTTTATATGGTCAGTACAAACATTTTACTTCTGGTTATAATCGCCATAAATACCCAGGTCTGAGCATAAAGCATAATCGGCAAAAATACCCTGGTCCCATGGTTGCACTGGTCCTGACTACTGATGATTTTTTAATTTCAATGATGGATATATGCATTATTTTTTTTTAAAGTGAAGAAAAATAATTTTTAAAGTAATAATTATTATTTAGAAAGACAGGAAAATTTTACCTATTAGTGTCCTACGTGTAAACAACTTAAGAAAATAATTAAAATTCAATCTGTAGGATGGAAGGATTTAATTATATTTTTGTTCCAGATCTTTTGTTGGTATCAATGGTATCAAAATAAAAAATAATAATTCTATAAACTTGTGATATAAAATATTTGAATCTGTGGCACAATAAATTTTCCAATAATTCCTGGATATTTATAAATTTAAATACATTTGTTTATGTTATTTAATTGGTTATAAATTTATAAAATAATAAAAGTTTAAATAGTCACAGCCTTTGTAATACACTATTTTTTAGTTAGTTAAATTTAACTAATGTTACTCTTTTTAAGACACAAAACCCCATGCTTATTTCGAAACTTTATGTATTATAAAAAAAGTTCTAAATTATTAAATAAAAGGTACTAGCAAAGCTTCAAGTGACTGTAAAACTATCCTAGTGGGTGTTATAGACTATCCTAATTTATCATGTAATGATAACAATAACATATTTAGGGGTAAATATAAATAAATTTCAATCAATTTCATAAATATCCAAAATTCACAGGTATTTATGGATTTTGGGTATTTACCCCGAGTTTTAAATACCTGGGTATTTTACATCACTAATGGTAATATATGGTAATACCATGAAATACTAACAAATAATCACACCTGAGGTAATAAATTGAAAGAATAACAAAAAAATATGTAAGCTGAGGTATTTTCGCATAGTATGAAACACAATGTCGTGGAAAACGTTATGCTTAAATTTGAGTAATTATAGTTGCATCTTAGAGTTGTTTGAAAACTTGTTAGAAACTAATTTTAAATATCTCTATTTGCGTCGTGAAGGATCGCCTACATTATTTCTGTTCTACAAGTTTGAACTGATAACATCTAATGAATGCTAAACACCCTGCTTCAATTCGAGTTAACATGTTGCAACAAAGTTTTTCCATCATTGAGAATAGAAGAAAACTGATGCTTTACTGAGACCTGTGTTAAGTATTTCAAGTTGGGTAATTTCTTTATGTATTTCTTTGATTTGAGGCATCACCTAAACCAACGAAATTTCTCCGTAGGGAATCCTGTAAATTGGGATGATGTCAACTATTTCACGTGTTTTATGTTTGACCCACAAAATCTGGGTTAAACACAGTCATAATCTGATTTTAATATGCTAACGCAGCAATCAGCAACACCATTGAAAGTTAATTAACGTATTTTAACGTGGTGTCTGTCAGTCACAGTATATGCCCCGCATCGGATCATTCTCACGTTGTTCAGTGGAGTTTCTCTTAATACCTGTCCCAAAGTTTTGAAAGTGTGGATTCATTTGTCAAAATAGGTTGGATAACTCTTGTAGCTGTAAGATTTGGACAACAATTTTCATTTTCTCTTTAGGAACAGCGTATATTATTTGAGTCTCCTGAGTCATAATAAAAATAAACTTGATCGTAACAACTCGATCGTTGAATACGTCGTTGGATGGATTGCAGCGTTATCGTATATTTCTGTTTGCCATTAAACACTATAATCCAAATAATTTAACTTGCTTACTAAAACATTTTAGATGGGGAGACAATCATACAGTAACTAACAGCACATGGGCAGTAAATCTTATTAATCTGTTATGTCGCAAACATTTATAAATATAGATATACTGTTGAAGCTTTTCAACCCAAAGGAATGTTCCAGATTATAAAGGTTTAACATTTCTTTATAACGGCATCGTCAATAAAGATACATACCACTTTATATTTTAATGCTGAGATCTTTGTGTTTCAACTTGACATTAATACTATAAAGGAATTCGCTTGGCGGAGGGCCTTTTCATAGTTGGGGGAGGGTGAGGTCCTAGGAGGCGGGGCTTCGCCACCGTGGATGGAATTGGACATCCTGAGGTAGAGCTGAGGATTATAAGGGTTAATCTGGGACCCTGGGCAAATTGAGACTAATTAGGTTACGGGCGAAACGAAACTCGGGCGGAATAGGACTACACGATTTGAACTAGCTTAGTAACACAAATAAGGTAAACAATAGAGTTTTGGATACAATTGTTATCTGTGGCTGGTTCACAGTTAAATATTCCAAATAATACATTTGAGGCTGTTTTTCACAAAACGATGTTCTTAAAATTGTCAACAGCAAGTCCACATTGCGAGGATATTAGCTTCAGTATTATCAAAAAACAATGATTGGTGACATTGTGAATGCATTGCCTATTTTACTACAAGTAAACAGGTTTGATTACGGGTTTTCTACCTCCAAACCTAAGCTTCAGACTAAACAGATCTCCCTTCAAGGGCTTTTAAGCCACTTTTAAAAATACTGATCACTGCCTACACATCATTATACAAAATGTCCAACTCCATAAATACTTGGTTCAAAATATTGAAAAATATAAAATGTTGTTGTATTTCCTTTAAATGCCGTGAAACACCGAGTCACGGGATATCTGGTGATTTAATAGCAAAATATTGCATTTTCTGAGGTCTGAACTTAAAATATTTTTGAAAATAAAAAAAATTATACATCTGCCAAACTATAATAGGGGTCTTGAGCCATGAATTACCGAGCCATTAAGCTAATACTTCGTACCCAAATGATATTTAACCTTATCCGGGGACTTAGAATTACTACTTCAACTCGAGCCTGCCTCCAACCTACAGCATTGTCTTGGGGTTGCTTCTTATCTCGAGCGGTGAGTTGTGTATAGCTCATGTTTAGCGCAAAGGCCAGATTCTGTCCTCCGATGTGACCTGCTCACTCCTAAGACCTATAAGGCATGCTAGCATGCTAGATAGCCAGTCCTGTAAATAAATTTGTATCCTCTTTGTCTATCTGGACGTAGGCAAAACGTAATGTTCAGTTCAGGACTGGGAACCAACAAACATAACACTTAACTTTCGTTTAGTGCTATAAATCGCCTGGTCCAGCGTCCCCGAGTCTCCTGTTCCAAGCTCTCCTGCCACAGCTGGTAGGCGCGGGTGTGTTCCTCTGTTCGTGCCTGGTCCTCCCCACGGCGCTGATAAATTTCCTTCCTCTCCACCACCAGAAGTTTGACGGGGATGACTCCAGCAACCACCAGGACGGCGGGTTCGCACACTGTTCGGTAGGTGGATGCAACTCTTAGTGCTGCCTGATGCTGCACTCGGGCGAGCCGCATCCTATATACCTCCTTATTGAGAGCGTCTGCCCACACCTCCGCACCGTACAAGAGAACGGACTGGACAGAAGACATTAACAGCCTTCTACGGCTGGACCGAGGCCCTCCGACATTGGCCATCAACCGGCTAAGAGAGGAAAGCACCCTAGCGGCCTTGTTCGCCGTACGGAAAATCTGATCCCACCAGCTAAGCTTACTGTCCACCATAACCCCAAGGTACTTGGCAGAGCGAACGGTCTGGACTTGACGGTCTGGAGTGACGGCCCCTACCCTCATCCGCACGATGGTGTCAATCCGTTTTTTTGTTAATATATCTCAGTTTTGCTCAAAGCGAGCGAGACACCGTGGTCTGCCATCCATGCGTATAAGGTACGCATAACTCGGTTCAGCTTTAGCTGAGCCAGCTCAACGCTACGTGCAGCAATCAAAACTGCAACGTCGTCTGCGTACCCAAAAAAAAACAGTTTCCTCAGGCATTTCAGACCTCAGAAGGCTGTCATACGCGATTAATATCTTATTCGTAGCTAGGCCAACAGAGTCACTTAACGGCAAAACATAAGGCAAATGTTGAATTTTGTAATTTTTAAATGAGTTGTGTAGCAAAATACAAACTTTCCTAATTGTTTTAGGGCCCTAATTCTAAAAATTTTTAAAATACTCTTTCAATAGATCCCGAGTTATATATCACAGACAGACAGACAAACATACGTAGCTCATAATAGAGTATAAGATTATTATTATTTGACAATTGTTTTACTTATTCTGGCCTGTTTTAGAACGTATGTCCTACTGCTGACTAGTTAAGTCAATATGTACACACGTAGTTCACATTTTTATGTTGTGGCTTGGACTCTTTATAGATTTTTATTTAAGATTATATTTGCTTGGTGTAATACCACTAGATAAAATTGTTCCATTGCAGTGCAGATGTTTTAATTTTAACAATTACTAATCTAAAATATAATAACTAGTAGAAATTTTATCAAAAATGCTTTTCAAAAAACTGATTAAAATAAAAATAAGTAGCAGCTTACCTATGTTGTTAAACAAAATTACCAAAACAGAGCCTTTTCTTTGCAGCCAATTTATAGTGAAGCAAAGAAGATGAGCTGACTAATGAAAAAGCTAATCAAAACCAAGATAGCTTGAAAATGATAAAAACTAATTGTTATACAATTTTCCATTATAAAGATGGATAACGATAAAGATTGATCATTGTAGCTGATCATTGAAGCTGATCATAATTTTTTATTAGTCATACGTTTAAACCAAGTAAGTTTTTAATAGGTGCGCATGCATAAATTAATACATCTGTATAGTCCAATGCTTTGTTTAGATTCCATTGTTCTATGCCAAGTGTAAAACATGATTTTGGTAAGTATGTGGATGTGTACAGAGCAACAGACCACACCTGTGGTTTGATTTTAATTACATTTGGTATGCGAGTGCCAGCCCATGGCATCTCCAGGCGTTATTTTCACTTTTATTTTTACTTTAATGGCGATTTCCAATAAAACTCCAAAATAAATGGGAAAATCACATTTTTAAAAGTCGCTTGAGCAATTCCGTTTAGAATTGACTATGTTATGGTCATTAAAACTGTAAGCAAAATGGTACAACCTCCAACGCTGTAAAACTTAGTGTTCAAAGGTGTCTGCTATTTCCAGGATTTTATCTATAAAACGTCATAGTTACCCCCATGACTTGTCAAATTTTAGGGTACGTCCACAATGCACGCTGGTACAAGCAGGAAGCCAGATTCAACGTCCACAATGCACGCTGGTATAAGCAGGAAGTCAGATTCAGATTTTCGGCGCCGAGTGCCTGACTCCGGTGGGGTGGCCATAATGCAAGCAGGTTGTAAGCTGTACCTGTCTATATTCCCGCAAATTCTTGCAGACGACAACAGGGTTTTTCAATATTTCAGAATGAGCTTGCACACCTTTTATTTAATCCTCATAAAAATCGAACACAAGCTCGCCAAAACTGTGGAAAATATCACAAAACATTGAATTTGCATATCCCGCTGAGGTAAATCAATTTATTTAAGTAAGTTAAATGGTTTATTTTGTAAAAATGCAATATTAAAAACAATTTAATTAAACCAGCAGATAAATTTAACGTACAATGTTGCCATATTTCAAAAAATGCACTGTATTGCTATTTGCTGGAATGTGTTGAACTTTTGATATCAATTGGTCGATATCCATGGTTAATGTACTGAAACACTTATACACTTAAAACAAAAACCAAAACAACAGTCCGATAAAGCAGGTTGTCTGAAACCAGAATGAACAATTCATTCCGGTAAAAATCGGAGTCAGACTACCTGCGCGCAGAAAATCGGCGCGCAGGTGCACTATGGCCGCTTACGTTTACTAACATGGGATGATAAGCGCGCCGAGTCTGACTTAATCGGCGCCGACAGTCTGACTCAGAAAACCAGCGTGCATTGTGGACGTACCCGATTTTCTGCGCGCAGGTAGTCTGACTCCGATTTTTACCGGAATGAATTGTTCATTCTGGTTTCAGACAACCTGCTTATATCGGACTGTTGATTTTTGTTTTTGCATTGAGTGTATAAGTTTTTCATTACATTAACCATGGATATCGACAAATTGCTATCAAACGTTCAACACGTTCCAGAAAATTGTAATAAGCACATCAAAGTGCATCATTTTTAACAAATATAGTAACATTGTACCTTAAATTTATCTGCTGATTTAATTAAATTGTTTGTAATATTGAATTTTTACAAAATAAGCAATTTAACTTACGGAAATAAATCTAGTTACTTCAACGGGACATGCTATTTCAAGGCTTTGTGATATTTTCCCCAGTTTTTGGCAAGCTTGTGCTCATTTTTAAGGTGTTCAAGCTCATTCTTAAATATTTAAAAAACCTGTTGTCGTCTGAAAGAAGTTAATAATATGTATAAAACCTGTATAAAATATGTATAAATATGTATATAATATGTATGAATCAATGTACAGTATCCCTTAAATAGGTCTCAACACAGACAGGTCCGGCTGACAACCTGCTTGCATTATGGCCACCTCATCTGAGTCAGACACTCGGCACCGAAAAGGTTTGTTGACAAGCTAATAGAAGAAGGCTTGTATCAGTTTTTTGGTACAATTTTTTACATCCTAAACAACAACCAAATTTACTATGTGTATAATTGTTTAAACTTACCTTGAACTATTCATTGAACATCAATGTGTAATATATTGTTTTTTTTTCAAATTTAACAAGTCATTACAAAGGTACCATTGTAAAATATTTTAAGTTAAATGTTACCCCATTTTGACAATATATTTATATACGCATTGTCATACAGTTCTACCAAAATGAGATCTTGCGTTATACATTTAATTAATTGCTTCATATGCTCAATAAAAAGCTTTTATTGGTATACTTCAACACTTAAACACGAGTTTGCATTTTTTCAAAGATCAATAGAAATAAAAATAGTTGAGATGCAGTGTAAATAGTTGAGAACCCGGTACCACACGGACTGAAGTCCCGCACAATTTATAGATAGTACGTGGAATGTGTTTTTAAATGATACGGAAAATATATTAAAATGTTCTCTATTAAGCTCAATTCATCCACATGAGTTTGTTATCACCGTTTTACTTTAACAAACGTGAACAAATAGTACACATTACTTTAACATTCATCACAACATCCTAACTGTCTAAAACACACTCAAGGCGGCCGTCGAGTAGTTTCTGACATGATTAATCCGTTAAAGGTAAAACAAAGAGTTTTTCTTGTGTTCAGCGACTACAAAACAACACCTTGTAAGTCTAAAGCTTTACTCTGATGCTATACAAAGTAATTGCATTACCAAACAAACCTTTGATGCTTATATTTCCATAAACCGGTTTTGAAATACAATAATTATGTTCTGTCACCTTGTTTGACCAATTAAATGATTGTAACAGGATGCATTTTGTTTGCACAGCTCACCAATCATTTTTAAACCTAATTCTTTACAACCATAAAATTTACATATAAAGTCATATTTTGACAAACAGGAAAGTTGTACTAGTCTTCTACATATTTTGAATAGTTATCAATACTTACACTATTATTCAAGTGTTTAAGCACTTTCTTCTCTTAAAGGGAGCGAGCTTGGCCCCACCTCTACAACACCACGACCACACATACCCCTCATTCTCTTCTTTCCCTTCCTCGAACCCTAGGTATCAAATCCCTTGTTGGTTGTAGGTCAGAGGGTCCCAGGGCAACCCAGACAAGGGTCGGTCGTAAAACATTTGAGCGAGTGCGGTCACAGGGTCCCAGGGTTACCCCTCATTAGCGCTGGGACTCTCTGGCAACTCCAGCCAAGAGATGATTAACGCGCAGGCCACTGAAATACCCCACATGTAGGGTAACTGTTGGAAATAAATTATTTTGCGTTTCAGTTGCATTGCAACCTTTACTATATGCACAATTTACTATGGAGGTAAAACTCGATGTACCACTAGTTTCAAGGAATATATCTTTGGTTTATCTATTTTAATCAGCCTCGTTGAAATATCAGAATTAATAACTTTATTGAGATGTAAATCTATCTTCCAATAAAAATATATTTAATGACTGGAAAAATTCAAAAGAGAAAAATAAACAATCAACTATAAATAAAAGACCAATGTAACAACTGACACACTGTACTATATCTACACAATAATATCATACAAAGATCTCAAGGGGTCTTCTGTGAGTAAGTATGCTAATCAAGTACGTAAATATTTAGTTACCATACCTCGGATCTGTTTAGGACTGTCCATGCTTCTATATCGACCGAGGGCTTTGCTTGCTGATTGTTAATGAAATATTTATCTATCTATCTAAAATACTAATGTTCGGGAAACACTTTTATGTATGAAACGTTTAGGTCATATACAATAATAACTTCGTGAAAAATAATAGCCTAATTTATGAAAAAATATATAATGATTAGATAAGTTTATATAGATTAATTATATACTTACACATAAAAAGACGTCAAACAGTAAAATTAAAAGTATACAACTATTTACTACACAGGAATTGACATGAAAACAGAGGAAAAACTACCGATATACTGTTTATAAACAAATAATGAACATTTTAAGGAAATTCTATTTATTTTTAACGGAATAAGGATACGAATAATAATTATCAGTGTCAACTCGTTTTGATGACCCTTGCAAAACTATTTTAAAACAATTTAAGTATATGTGAAGTATGTAGGGCCTACATGTGTAGTTCAAAACTGTTGCATGTCTTAAAAAGCTTGAATGTTTAGGAATTTATATTATACGAGAGTTTATGCTGTTTAAAGTTATTTGGCAAAACTGTTAAACATATAATATATTACAAAGCTCAGCTCACTAGCTAAAGTTAAATTAATATTACCACGAACACATAAAATTAACAAACGTAAATTTTAATGACATTGAGGTGAACTTTGCATGTTTGGTTAAGACATTGGATGACTCTCTGGGCTCACTTAAACAGCTGGAGTCCCTCGTCAGCGATCTTCATCTTGAGAAGGTGGCTCTGGAGACGAGAATTGAGCTGGAAATTCAGAGAAGACGCACAGATCTAAATGATTCTTTTAATGTTCAAGAGAGTTTATTACACGAAAAAGACACTATCCTTAGAGAAAATGCTGATAAAGCAAGTAGACTAGTTCAACTTAAGTCTAATTTTAATGTTTTGGAACAGGAATGTGCTTCCCTTAAGTCTTCTCTCTCAGATAAGGACTGTATTATTTCTAGTGTTAGAGATGAGCTAAGTAAGTGCAAACACAACAACTCAGATTTACTTAGTACTGTAAATGTTTTGAAAACTCAACTTGAAGAAGCAAATGTTAGCTCATGGCACAAAAGCAGGTGGTTAGATGACAAAGTTATTGATTCTTATTTTGATTTATTCTCTAAAAGTAATTTTAACGTCCTGAATAAGATCTTGTTCATCGGTCCCACTGTCTCTCAACTTGTGAAGCATGGCAGTAATAAAGACATTGAGACAGCCTTATCTGATCTTTCTTTTAATTTGTTTGACTATGCCTTTTTATGTATTAGCAATAATCCTGCTGTTCTTAAAGATGATTCAGGTAGCCATTGGTCTCTATTGTTTA